ATAAAAGATATTTTAAAATTATATTTTAAGAGCATATATTAAAAAAACTCAAAAATAAAACCTTCGAACTTGTTCAGTGGCTTTTTGCACTAATAATTTTATATGATGAGAAATATTAATGATACTCCCTAAACTGTTAGTTGCACTAGTCAATATAGTACTGGCATTAAAATTAAAATTAATTTTTATTTTTTATATATTTATAATTAAAAATGCCGTTAATTTATATTTTAAAAATACTTATTAAAAAATTTAAAAATAAAATCTTTCACTTTTTTTTTTTACACAGCAAAAAAAATTTATTTAATAGAATACAAGGGGTACACTTACCCCGTGTTACAAAATAGATTATCATTGAGTATCCACTGACTTCAGTTAGCATAAAATTGACCACTATATACCAACAAAAGAATTAGCCAAAGTCAACTAACTGCTCAATGACAAAATCATCAGACCTTACAGGATAACAAAATACCAAGATAAATACCAGCTAACATAAGACTAGGGACATATACCAGCGAAAAGGCAGCCACAGTCAAACAACCACTAAGTGACAAAAACACCAACCTGCATGGAGGTAAAACTTAATGTGTACCTCTTTTATCTTTAAGACATAGGACAGGGTCGAGCATCCAATCATGAAAATCTTTCACTTGTTCAGTAGCATTTTACACTCGATCGGTACTTGCTTAATCCCTTCCCATTCCGATCTTTCATTGTCCACTTTCCAGACCAACACGGCGCGTACCAACCGGCTAATGTCAAGAAAATGGCTTTTTACACTCGATCGATACTTGCTTTAATCCCTTCCCATTCCGATCTTTCATTGTCCACTTTCCAGACCAACACGGCGCGTACCAACCGGCTAATGTCAAGAAAATGTGAATTCAACACATACATCATCAAAAGTACACGTTGTCAATCTAGAGTTGTGATACGTCATCAATTACGTGCCGAATGCAGTTAAGCCTGATTAAGACTTGGTTTGACAATGTTATTTATAGTATTTTTTTATAGATATTTACAAAACTTTTGTAATTTATATATTTTATAAATTATTTATTTTTATTTTTTTTGAAAAAGAATGTAAAAATCATTTTATCTAAAATTAATATTAACCTTTTTCTTCACTTTTCCTTCCTTTCTTTTTTCTCCTCTTCCTTTCCTTTACTAATTTGGGTTTGTCTAACATAACTTATGTCATTAAAAACATATTAAAAGTATATTAAATATATATTAAATATAAATTTATATTAAAAAAATAAAATTTTAATTAATTAATTAATTAATTAAATTTATTTAATATTAAAATTAATATTAATTTTTATATTTTTATATATATTTATAATAAAAAATATTTAATATATTTTTAATTTACACACAAAGATGTAAATTAAAAAAAAATCTTATTAATTTTTATCCTAACATAGGATTAAAGTGACTGCTCTTTTTTTTTTCGGTTTTCCGCCCGGTATTCGGGGTTTTGCCCCGATTAATTCGGACCCGATCCGGGTCGTGCACTTGAAAATGGTGAGTGAGTCTTCTAACAAAAGCTGTTGCATACGCAAGGACTCAAACTCAAAATCTTACCTTAAGTTGAAACAAATCGCTTACCACTTGATTCAATCCCTCGTTGGTAAAGTGGCCGCTATTTACCCTAACTAAAATCCCTTCATTGGGAAAAGGAGTTGAAAAATCTGGAGCAAAAGCAATTGCCTTATATCAAACAAAATAAAATAAAATCTGAAGTAAAAGCATAAACACGTGACTCACTTTTATATTGCAGGTGACTGGAATAGTCCGTCCTTCTCTGTTGTTACCTAACATAAACGTGTGACTCACTTTATAATCTCTGTTCAGAAAAGGTTAAATTTTCATTTTGGTTTCAGAAGATAACTTTTTTTAGTTTTTTTTCTTAAATTACATATATATAATATGTTAAATGATAAAAATTTTAAAATAAAAAATAAAAAATAATTAAAAATAACCTTAATTTAATTTTTTAGTTAAAGTTTTTTCTAATTTCTTTATTTTAAAATTTTTTTCATTTAATATCAACTCTTAATTAAAAAACTAAAAAGAGATTGAATTTTAAATTTTTTTAAAAAAATTTTTAAAATAAAAAAATTAAAAAAAAATCTTTTATCAAAATAAAACAACCAAATTAAAGTTTGAACTTTGAACCTCCAGACAACCAGTCCAAAAAATAATAACAACAACCCCCAGTCAATGAGTCAATCGCCGCGTAACGCTCTTTCATCATTGTCTTCAGATTCGGGTAACACGTTTTAATAATTGACTTGAATTACTGTTGTTTCCTAGCATAAACACGTCTCCTTGCATGTTGCCCCTCCACTTGAGCTTGTCATTTTTCATTCATCTGATCTGTTTGTCTTTTTTTAAATTCAATTCATTCACAATTTTTCTGAACTATTCCTCGCTAATAAAAGTCGTGCCAAAATTTACTACAGGTAGACCATCATTTTTCTTAAACATAGTATGTCTATCCTTTTTTCTTCCCTTTTTTTATTTTTATTTTATCATTTTCAACTTTACCGTCATTCTCATCCCTTGTTATAATATAACCTACATTATCAATTTGATTGGGTTGTTCCATTGTCAAATTCTCCACATGCATCAATATGTTCTTTATAAACAAATGTTTTTAAATTAGATATAATAGATATTAAAGAAAATAAATAATATATTATTATAAAAACAAATAAATAAACTTACAATGGTAACTGCACTTAAAAATCCCACCTCCACACTTGCTTGTAATTGTTCATTGTCAATTCTGGGTTGAGCTTGAGAAGCTATAAAGTTTCTCAAATTTTCCCTAGCTTCAATGGTCTCATCATCTTCATTATTAGACAATTCCAGGACATCTAGCATAGATTCTTCTTTAGTTTGGTTAGTATAAAATTAAAAAATTTTAGATTAACCTTCTCATTGTCTACAATAATAACATTTAAGTCTTCAATTCCAACATTAGTGTGAACCCCACTAGTACCTCCATCATCATTAAAACTTTCATTTTCATATTCATTGCTCGAAACTACCATCATAAAAATTTTTAGCCATCATCATTAAAACTTTCATTTTCATAATCATTGCTCGAAACTTCCATCAACCTCATTTAGTGCCTCATCTACACTCTTTGGAATTCCAACCACCTCATTAACTTATTTAATGTTTTTTTCACCGACATTTTCCACAACATCACATGATGCTAATATCAATGATGAGCTAATTTCAATAAAGTATTAGTCAGTTTTTTTGAACAATTGTAATTAAATGATATAAATAAATTAATTAACGAAACTAATTAAAGGAAAATTAAATTGATTTTAAGTAATGCCAAAAGTTGAAATTTTAAAGCCTGATTTTATCATAATTAACTAATGTAGAATTTATATTAATATATTAAAATTAATATATTTTCAAGATTTTTATTATTTATGTGACAGTGAGATTTTCTATTCTATTTAATATACTTTCTTAAGTTATACCAAATATATTTTCATCTATTAACCCATTATATTTCTATGTAAATTTAAATAGATAAAAATGTATTATATTCTATGAAATTTCTTAATTTATATAGAAAATTAAGTCTACTTATCACTAATGTTACACAAATTATGTTGGTTTATTTTTGACTTTTATTCAATTCATGGTATATATTACTAGAAACTACTACAAAAAATCTTTTCTCAGTCTCCATTATGCTCTTCAATTCAGTTTTAATAGTGGCCAACCATTAAAAAGCATGAAAAACAATAATATATAATTTACATGAAATACTAAACCACATGAAATAATATACCTTGAAAGAATAAAAATCATAAAATTTTATATCAAATTGATAAGACTACATCGTAGTATTAGATGGTTAAATTAGTTTATAATTAAAAAAAAAGAAAAAGAAAATCTAAGATTCTCTTAAGAATATAAGAGTATTCAATATCATAAAACAAAATTCAATAACAAATAAAATAATAATATCAAATCTCATCAAACCTTGATCTTTTTTTGATATTGAGTTCCTCTTAACCATTTCTCTCTTGGTCTCACCCAAAAACCCTAAATCT